GTTTTCATCCGTCTACTCAATGTCTTTGTGACCTTAGTCTTCGTAAATCCTGTATTTTCATCTTGACTCTGCTTTCAATACTCCAAAATTCAGTTTTATTCTTCATTCAACTTGGCAGCCAACAGACAGCAGAATAAACTGCCGTACGAAAGGGCATGGTGGATGGTTATTAGAACTAAAATGTGACCGACAAACGCCCCTGTTCTCGCCACTAAAATCACCTTTCTCAGGGTAAACGTCTAAAGTGCTCACTTAATTTTTTCACGAATTTACTCTACGCATTCTATCGATGCACATGTTCATATGGCTTGTATAGTGAATTTGATTCCCTCGGGATACGCTTTTGTACAAAATGAATCGAACACCGCTGTTAACAACGATTCAATTCTACCTACGTAAGGCAAACCCTTAGACTATCATCAGCTTTTTACGATGGTGCATCAAGTGTTCGCACCAACAAAATGCCATGACAACACAGACTTGTTTCAGGCTTTTTGTATCCGTTATCACTTGATTATGGTGTTTCGATTACCCATTTGGCCCACAACGATGACGGAGTAGACGATGTAATTTAAAAGGTGGAGGCAGTGCATAAGTGAAGACAGCGTCCAACTAAACAATCTGCTAGACGGTGGATTGAATGCACTTGCACTACTGTCGGCCACATCACTCACTGTCTCCAATCATCAATCAGACTGATTACGAGATACTCTACAGGGAAGCCTGACGCTAAGGGTATGACTGCGTCCTTCCGTCCATGTTTTCGTACTCTCATGCTGAAGCTTATTCCGACCACTGATTTTCTTCCACCCACGGTTGGCTCCGGCAAACACCACTCATCGAGGAAGCCTATCCCAAGACATGTTTGACACACTTCAGACAACAATCAATAGAGGTTATGCATGTGCTTTATTGGTTGGCTGCAGTTGTCCATGACCTTGTCGTTATTTGTACGGGCGACCCACCAGACTCGTGCAATGCATCATAGACATTGATTTTAGGACGCAGTCTGTCTTTATCCTGTTCCTATAACGACCAGGGGTGTACCGAATGGTGGTAATCATCGGGCAGGTGTAGCACTGACTCGACTCTTCACGGATAACCGAATGTCGCCTCGGTATCCTTGATTCATTCCTCAAGTTGGTAAAAACCTAACGTGTTTTGCTTGTGCTAGTAGCCAAGTGTATTCGGGATCACAACTCATCTGTATTGTCATATTCGAATTTCTTTTTTACCAGTCTGCGACCCGGTACATGTGAATTTTACACGGACAAACTGGGAGTGCCAGGAACAAGAATTTGTGCAATGCACAAAAACAATGAGATAGATATGAGAGACGACAGAGACCTCCGTGTCAACCAAGGGTGCGAAGAAGAGTGGTTTTGTTGAGATGCACTGATGAGCGGATGTGGTGCCCCGTACACGAACATAGTAATGACTCCCCACGAAAAAGATTCTTAACTTATATCTGATCGATTCGGAAACAAGATGGCCACATGTTGAACATAACGCGTACTCACATAACATGTTTATCACGTTCAGATGGAAAGAAATCTTGTGAAATGAGAATGAGATAAAAGAAGAATAGAGATGATTGAGGCCGGGTCGTTTCGGGAATCAGGTATAAATCGACCAATTTCCTCCAATCTAATTATCTAGATGCCCGGTTCTGCTGGGACGAAGATATCCACATATTTGTTCCGTGGTTGGATTGGGAATGTGGATGTCCCTGGGAGGAAAAAGTGCTAGTCGAATGACGAAACCGACACCACAATTGCAACCCGGATTTTGCGACGGGCTTTGGTGTACATTCGATGAACGTTTTGTCCAAGCAAAGACTTCAACAAACGGTAACGGAACCGCTCTTGCACCACGTCTGACAGTAAGCGGTTTTGGGGTAGTCTATACGTTGACAATCTTTCTGGCCAAAAGTCCCTGAAAGGATAAACAAGGGATGTGGTAGAAGATGTTCTCTTCAAAAGTGCAAAACAAATCATCCGATAATGGACATTTGCAACTGTACATTCAGCAGCAATCGCATAATCACTAAGTACCAAACAAGAATTAATATAGCACTGGACAATTCGTTAATAAAATAACAGGAGACTTGCAGCAAAAAAATCTGTTTGATATCACCTTTGTGCTCATATCAGATGCAACTCTTTACGGATATATTATAAACGCAGTCAAATAATGACCGACAGAATTAGTGAATGCATGTGTCCGAAAGTCTATGGTCGAGATGTGTGTCTCTGAGTGTGCCTGATCACCATTCTCATACACCTCGCGAAATGTTCCTATATGACCAAGCGTCTCAAATCGCCTCTGCTGAGGAAGCCATACTCACTGCCTTCTCGTAGCGGTGTTTTCGCTCCAAAATGAGAGGACGAAAGGCCGACATCCGGGGCTATAACCGGGTTTGTGGACCACTGGTAGTCCACCTAGGGGAGTTGACTAAAAACCCTGATTCCAAATCAACCGTGGGGGGGGGGGGAGGGNCGGGGGGGGGGGGGGAGCGTACGAACGCATGCCTTCCTGGTTGCAGCAGTGGTCACATGCTCAATTGGGTATCAAGGTGTATTGGGCACCTTGGACG